GTGACAAGAATAATAATTTATGGTTATTTGGCTCCGGGGCAACTGACCATATGACTTATGATGAAAGAGATTTTATTCAGAGGACCTCACCTCGACGCAACAGGGTTGCGAATGCAAATGGAGTTATTTCCCCAGTTACCGGGGCTGGCTCTGTATCTCTGTCTCCCTCTCTACATTTATCCCACACTTTACTTGTTCCATCACTCTCACATAAATTATTGTCTGCAAGCCAAGTGACAGCTGAATTAAATTGCGTGGTGCTTATTTATCCAACATTGTCTTCTTCAGGATACTCTCACCAAGGAGATACTTGGGCGTGGTACTAAGAGAGAGGGGTTATACCACATGGAGGATTTTAGTGTCGATCGCACTCATCATGTTCAGAGTAATGTGAAGGAACGACAGATTTGGATGTGGCATCGTCGTCTTGGGCATCCATCATTCGGTTATTTAAAGCATTTATTACCTAGCCTTTTTTCGAATAAGGAAGTTTCTGATTTTAAATGTAATACCTGCATTTTAGCGAAAAGTCAACGCACTTCTTATCAATCAAGCATGAATAAAAGTAGTATTTCTTTTTCCCTAGTACATTCTGATGTGTGGGGCCCTTCACCTATTGCTACAATGTTTGGGGTTCGTTGGTTTGTTACATTTATTGATGACTGCACTCGCATGACCTGGCTTTATCTACTAAAAAATAAAAATGAAGTGTTCAAAGTATTTTAGTCATTCCATGCCATGATTCAAACTCAATTCTTTGCCAAACTAAGAGTTCTTCGTTCCGATAATGGTGGTGAATTTATCAACCAACGGTTTCGCACTTACTTTGAACAACATGGTCTCATTCATGAGATGTCTTGCCCTCAAACCCCTCAACAAAACGGCGTTGTTGAACGGAAAAATCGACATATTCTTAAAACTGCAAGAGCTCTCCTTCATGGAACCTATGTTCCAAATGTTGCTGGCTTGATGCAGTGTCCACAGCTGTATACTTACTCAATCGGATGCCCTCTAAAGTCTCAAATTTTAAGACTCCACTCCAGATCCTATCATCCCATGTTGCTCTACTACCAACTCTAATGCTCTCTCCTCGAGTATTTGGTTATGTGGCCTATGTACATCTTCACAAGATTCAACGGACAAAACTTGACCCATGTGCTCTCCGATGTCTTTTTGTGGGATATGCTACACATCAAAAGGGCTATCGGTGCTATGATCCATCCTCCAAACGGACCTATGTAACTATGGATGTTACCTTCTCGGAGTCTGACACATTTTTTTCTCCAATATCCAATTCTCCTCTTCAGGGGGAGACAAGGGATGAAGAGTTGAATTGGTCGAAGTTTGAGTGGCCAAATAATACTGAGATAGAGACAGCTCCAATAGATATTGACTTAAGGAATGATATGACACAAGATCCAGAACCAACTGTAGAAGCTGAACCAAACTCCACCGAACCAGAGCCTCCTTTCTCTTCAGTATCCGCAGGCCCATCTCCTGAGAATATCTCTGAGGTAAGCACTCCTTCACATATAAGCAATTTAGATACTCCTGGTGGCTATAATTTACCTTTCAGGCATAATCGAGGCAAACCGCCAAACAAATACTCTCCAGACATTGAAAAACGAAGATCAAGATATCCAGTTGCCAACTATGTATCCACCACGAAGTTATCTGATCCATTGAAAGCTTTTGTACATGTTCTCTCTTCTAATCATGTTCCAACAGGAATTCAGGATGCTTTATCAGATTCCAAGTGGACTCAGGCAATAAAAGATGAGATGGAGGCATTAGTAAAGAATTACACGTGAATACTAGTTCCATTACCTGAAGGAAAGAAGACAGTAGGATGCAGATGGGTATTTTCCATCAAACACAAGGCAGATGGATCCATTGAGCGGTACAAAGCAAGGCTAGTTGCGAAGGGGTATACACAGACATATGGGATAGACTACCAAGAGACGTTTTCACCAGTTGCTAAACTAAACACTGTTAGAATATTATTGTCCATCGCTGCTAATCTTGACTGGCTACTACATCAGTTTGATGTGAAGAATGCATTTCTTCATGACGACCTCGAAGAAAAAGTCTATATGGACCTCTCTCTGGGCTATTCAGGGTCTTCACAAAATGTCGTGTGTAAATTGCAGCAAGCATTATATGGCTTGAAGCAGTCACCTCGAGCATGGTTCGGACGATTTAGTGTGGCAATGAAGAAATATGGGTTCAAACAGAGTGACGCAGACCATACACTCTTTCTTAAGCATAATGGAGGCAAAGTAACTGCATTGATAATATATGTGGATGACATGATTATCACAGGGGATGATAAAGAAGAGATATCTAGAATTCAGAAACAGTTGGCGTCTGAGTTCGAGATAAAGAACTTGGGAGGCCTCAAGTTTTTCCTGGGAATTGAAGTGGTTAGATCAAGATAAGGCATATTCTTATCCCAAAGAAAATATGTGCTAGACTTGCTGGCTGAAGTGGGGATGTTGGAATGTAAACCAGCAGATACTCCTATCACTCAAAACCTTAAGCTGAGTGAGTGTTCAGATCAAGTGCCAACGGATAAAGGGAGATATCAAAAATTAGTTGGCAAACTTATATACTTGTCTCATACTCGTCTAGATATTGCCTATGCCGTAAGTGTAGTTAGCCAGTTTATGCATAGCCCTAGCAAAGACCACATGGATGCTGTGACTCGAATACTTCGATATCTAAAGTCCTCACCAGGGAGGGGACTGATGTTTTCAAAGAATGATCACTTGAAAGTTGATGGCTATACAGATGCAGATTGGGCGGGGAACATTTCAGATAGGAGGTCTACCTCAGGCTACTTCATGTTTGTAGGCGGTAATCTCGTTACATGGAGAAGTAAGAAGCAAAAAGTGGTATCATTATCGAGTGCTGAAGTGGAGTTTGGTGGAATGGCAAAAGGACTTTGTGAACTCCTCTGGATTAGAAAACTGCTCACTGAACTTGGCTTTGCTCCTATTACTGAGATGGATTTATAATGTGACAACAAAGCTGCCATTGCCATATTTCATGACCCGGTTCAACATTATAGAACAAAACATGTGGAAACAGATCGACACTTCATCAAGGAAAACTTGGTAGCAAAGACAATTCGTTTCCCTTTTGTAAAGTCCGAGGATCAACTAGCAGACATACTCACAAAGACAGTTTCAAGCAAGGACTTTCACAACTCACTTGACAAGTTGGACATCAGAGACCTGTATGCATCAACTTGAGGGGGAGTGTTGGCGTGAGCTGTTAGAAATCTTTTTCTGGAAACATAAATCATATATAATTGTATCATTTTAAGGGAATAGAATTAGGCAATTATGTGTAGAATCAATTAATTAGCTACAGATTTGTGATTATCCAAAATTAGGAGTTTTTTTTCCTATATAAACTCTGTAACCCACCTTTTGACCGTATGAATGAAAATTACCTCTTGTGTGTATTGTGACTGTAGTTTTCCATGTTTTGGTGGGATTTTGAGGTGATTTTTGTTGGTGGATCTTGTGATGGAGGTGGTGGATATGGTAGTGTCACAAACAATGTTGGCATTAGGGGTGGTGGTCACACTCTAGGTGTGCAGGTAGATTATGAGAGATGTCTTGATCTGTGGTTGTGGTGGTGACTGTAATAAATATAAAATGGTGGTGGAACTGGCATGACAATGTGATCGTGTTTCTGTGATGGGTTGATTTGTTTGAGGTTGTGATAGTGGTTCCAAAAATGATGATGGTGGTGGTGCCACTGAAGGCAATGGTGAGATAGTGATCACAAGTGTTGGTGGTGGTCACAAATTATTTAATTGATTGTAATCATTAAATTGGTTTAATCCGTGACCAATAAATAATATGTAACTAGTGAAAAAGATAAATTGTGATCAATAAATAATGTGGGACTTAAAAAAATGTTAATTTGTGATTGTATAATAAGTTGTGACTTATAATTTTTGAATTGTGATTGTTGAATAAATGTGACCTGTAAAATTTTTGAATTCTGATTGTAAAATAATCTGTGACATATGAAAATTTTGATTTGTGATTGAAAAATAATATATGACTAATTAAATCATTAATTTACGATCAAATTGTATAAATCCGCAACCTTAATATATTTAATTAATAAAATATATAATTAATTAATTAAACTATAAATAAATTTTAATAAATATCTTATTTTTGAAATTTAAAACTTTTATTTTTAATTTTGAAATTGGTGGTACTTAATTTCTTAATTATGAATTTTTCCACTGACTTATTTTGTCGTAAGAAGGTTTGGTGGTTAGGGTTTATGCATATGGGCCTGTAGATGTTATTTGTGAGTTTAGGCCTAGATAATGGTTTAGATGGATTTGGTTAAATCAAACGAAATTCTTCTAGTTTGAGATGAACATTTGGTTCTGAAAGTCTGCTCGACAGTAGAGGCCACATATTGAAGTATATGGGCCAACATAACCGACAATCATGCTCAGCCTCTCTATAGATATATACTAATCGATTATGTACAAATATGAAATTCGTTAGACGAGTATAAATAGCTAAAGTGTTGTATTAGTCTCAATAGACAGCTAATGATAGAATTTTATTAGAATAAACGAACAAAACTAATTTAATTAAAACGCTTATAATTGAAATTAAATTCTCTATCAAATTTTATTTAACTTCTATCTTTATCTTATCCGGATTTCCATTATGGGTTCTGTAGCAAATGATTTTACATTTTTGGCCCCAGAGAAAGTTTACATATGAGAAGGCTGTAAATTTCAAATTTCTAGGTTAAGGTTCTAAATTTTAACCTTCTCAAATCTAGGGCAAATGGGATCTAGTTTCCTGCATTACGGGACGGACCGCCAGGCGACAGACGGGCCAGTTCCTGCTTAGAGAAAGTGGGCTGAAAATAGAAAGCCCAAGAACTAGCATCTGGACTAGACACAGGCCGATCATATTAAAGACCACCCCGCTTGTATAAACCCTACCATTTCATTCGACGTGGTGCCATTTCTCTCTCTGCCGGCAGTCCTGCAACTCGTTTCTCTACTCTACGGTCATCTTCCTTCAAATGTTTTATATTTTTGCCGTTTACTCAAGAAAATTTGCATGAATAACGAGATGCCTGAATTTATTCTGAAGGTCGGGCTGATTTTTGCTTATATCTGCAATTAATTTTCAATTAATTTCACTATTTAGTAAATGAAGCTTTCTATTAACTTCGTTCAATTAAGTAACATTCATATTGTTGCTGTTTGGTGTAAAGCTTAAATTGCAGTTTGTTTACTTCAAATTGGACTGTAATAAGAAGATATACAGTGAAAATCTAGTATTCTTCTCAGTATTTTCTTGACTTCCTTGTTTTATATTCTTTTTTTTTTTTTCCCTCTCTCTCTCTCTAGATAACTCGTGTAGTTAGTTTTTGAATTTTGATACCTGGAGTTTTGATTAGTTCATAGATTGGGGCTAATGTGTACGTACTTGTGTGTTTGTGTGGCACTCCTCTTACAGTACCAAAAATGTTATGGCATTGTTATGTTTTGCTAAAAAATCTGCCCGCAGTGTGGCAATTTGATATGATCTGCAACTCTGTCCCATGAAGTTGTGATGTAAACAATTTTTACATTTCTACTTCTTCCAAAATGTCCTGACTGAAGATATACAGTGAAAACAAGGTCATAAACTCATAATTAACTGGAGCAGATATTTAATAAGAGAAAGAACGTGTTGGAAGCTGGTCTCACTAAATATGCAGCCAAATTGTCTTGTTACAAACTACAAGTGAATTCGGTCCATTTATGAATAAATACTGTTTTGTACTTTGAGCACACTTCTGATCGATTGTAATCACTTTCAGATTATGGTCACAATATAGATTTAATGGAACAAATTTGTGCTACTATTCTACCGTATGATCTGTTTAAATGTAGTGTTGTGATGTATTTTCCAAACTGAATGTGCAATGTTGCAGAACTGAAAAAGATTGATAAGTGCACATTAAGATGGCAGAGTCTCAGAAGATAGCGTCATCCTAAAAATTGAAGGAAAAAAAATTCATCGTTCAACGATTTGGGGGGGATGAGTGAAATGTTGGAGGACTTGAAAATGGAGGTGATTGGGCCATTTTACCATCTCTATCTGCCACGAAACCTTGGTGTGTGACCAATATCAGGGATCTTGTTGCATGGCCCAGTGTGGGAAAACCAAAACCAAATGCCATTGCCAATGAGACTGATGTTCCCTTTTATAAGATCTGTGCTATTGAATTGGTGTATGGAGTTTCAGGTGTAATTGTTTTTTGTTTCTCTTTGTTTTTTTGATGACGAATTTTTAATCATAAATCTTTTAGATATCTAATTGTGATTTCACTTATAGTGATGACAGGGTAAATAGACCTATGCGTGTCATTTCCTTATTTTATTTTATTATATTTATTTTTATTTTCTATTTTTTATCTTGTCCACCTATTTGCTGCTAGTTTAACAATTGGACTAATTTCCCTTTTTTGTCTATTATGTGTGGGGTTTCAATTATGAACTTGGTTTTGTTCCCGCCCTTATTTACATATTTTTCAAGCTTGCTGAGATGTTTTATTTGTTGAATGTTTCAGCGACATCAGAAGAAGATATTAGAGAGCTATTTTCTAAAGCTCACAAGGACAGCCCCATCCATTGTATTCATAGATGAAATAGATGCGATTGCAACTAAATGGTAAATTTCCAATAACGTAATGGAGCAACAAATTGTCACAATACTAATGTTGTGCATGGATAAGTCATCGAGAATTGTCAAACCTATAAATGAAAGTGGAACTTTAAAGAATTCTGATTGCATGTCTGGGTATGTACTCATTATTGGAGCAACAAATAGGCCTGATTCTATTAATCCTGCATTGATGAGGCTTGGATGATTTGACCATGAGATTTAGCTTTTGATCTTATGAATATAGCTTAGTCCACTGCAGGGATTGTTGGAGCTGACTTGGCAGCACTTACGGACAAAGCTGGCAATCTAGCAAATGAATTGGATAATAGGCCAATGCAAGTATCAGGTTTCTACAGAACCTGTACAAGGGGAGCTTGTTGAAGAATGGTGGAGACAACCTTGATCATGTGAAGAAATAGAAAGGCTCGGCATGACAATGGCTGATTTTGAGGTAACATTGCAACCTAACATTAAATGCATATGAAAATTGTGAATGTATATCGATGCTATATGCATGCCCTTTTATTTCGTACCTTTGTTCTCCTGCATTGTTATCAAATTGGATTTTGTTTATTTGGTTATTTTTTACATATCGCCTAGTTCTTTAATTAATGTGTATTGTTTGTTGGTTTTGCGGTTCAATCTATTTTTTTCCTGGTCATGGATGGACATTGATGTTGATTTGGTCATTTGTCTTTCAACTGTTGTAATTGGTATATTTTTTCGTGGGCTAGCTTTTGGTCTATCTTTGCTTTGGAAATCTATAGCTTCCTTGTTTTTAGATATAGATTTGATGTCTTATTGGAACTCTTCTGTCATGTTGGTATGTATCCTGTGTAAATAGGTTTTGCAGCTTGAAACCTTTTAGCAAAATCTCCTTTCTTGTAATATTAATTCTCTGTACTTATCTTAGGAAGGCATTTGTCTATACTCTAGAGGCATCGTTTTTCCTTTTTCTTATTGTTTTTGGTTCCCTCATTTCCTTTCGGTTTCTGATTTACTCTTTCTATGTGATCTCCCCCTCAATTAATTGCTAAACACACAATTTTGTAGAAAGGTGCTAAAATGGTTCAACACTAAATCTTTGTGCTCCTCATTATTCACTATCAATTGGATATTTTATAGACGAGTTGTGTAGATTTTCGCTTTTTGGAGTTCCATGTCGCTATTTTTTCAGAAGCAAAGATCATAGCCCTTGATCTATCATAGTTCTTGAGAGGATTTGCAGTTTCAATTGTTCTTAAGTAATTAGTTTAGATATTTGATTCACAAGAAAGATCGTCCCCCTTGGTCTAAGTTCAACATTGGGATGTTGTTCAAGGTTCAATATCGGCTTTTGGTCAAGGTTTAAGGTTCTCTCAGTTGAGGAGAAATGATGCAATATTATAGGAGATGATTGTTTATTAAGTTTCCTATTTTGATTTGTATTTTAGGAAACATGATTAGAGTGTGATTTAATCACTTTTATAACATTTCTTTACTTAGTTATGATTTTTGAAACCCTATATAAAGGGGGTTATGTCAATATACAGTGGCGATAATGAAGGCCCGGTGAGGCAGATGCCTGCACGGGACTTTGGGCTGCTACCAATTATGCATAGCAGCCCAGGCCCATGTTAAAATAAAAATAAAATAAAATTGAATTGGGCCAATTAATTGGCCCAATTACAAGCTACAACATTACCCATATGATTGAGGAGGAGGCTTGAGCCTTAAATGGTGGTAAAAGTCGAGAAGAAGAAACCGTAGAATATTGCCCTTGTTGGTTGCTGCTGGCTTCAAGCCTCAGACCCAATGCGAGTCACGTGACGACAACTGCCTGCTTCGAGTCTTCGACGGGACGACGACTGCTTGCTTCCAATTTCTCAAGTTTTTGTATGGCTGTATCTTTATTCTTTATGTCTGCAACTCATTTTATTTCATGTATCAATGAGAATTGAGAAATATAATTTGTTTTGGTTTTCATCTATTTTATAGATTCTCTAATTCATTTTATATATCACTTAATTTCTTTGTAAAGATTGAAATTGGGTTTTAGGGTCTAAGCTAAAATTTAGGACTTTAATATTTTTCATCCACATTTTGATAATTTGACTCTTTGTTAGTTAACTTTTCAATCTTGTATTTTTTCATACCACAGGTAGCAAGTTTGTACATATTAGGCCCCATTTGGTTCCCATTTTTTTAAAAATGTATTTCTCTCTTATTTTCAATCACACATTCTTCATTAAAATAATATTACATGTAAATCAAAAATTTTTCTTTATTTTTAATCCACACATTTTCCATCAATTTACTATTTCAAAATGCATTTTTACATAAAAATGGTTCCCAAACACCCTCTTAGTGTATTGTTGGATCATTGGAGGGGTTTGTCATTTGTGGCTTGGAGAATCTATAAAATAGAATTATGTAAGTGTAGTGAATTGGAGAACCGGAGTAGATTACGTAATCGGATTGGAAATGAGTGGACGAATGATAGTCTCATCGTTTATGTGGAGAAATATGTATTATTGAGGATTGATAATGAAGTGATTTTACAAAGATATCAAAGTATGAAAACTCGTAAAGAGTAATTTTAAGGTATTTCATTTTTAGTATAATGTTTGTGTACTGGGTTATAATGCGGTTATTTTTTTTTTTTTTTGTAAATTTTCTAATTTTGTCCGCACTGAAAAAGCTTTCTAGGCCCACTTCTGGAAACCTCTATATGTCCCACTTCCTAGTCCAGATGAGCGTGGTTTAATCTTGATAGCTATTGGTAGGAAGAAGCCAATAGATGTCAATGTGGAGTTGATTGCAATTGAAAGTGACAGTACTTGTAAAAATTTCAGTGGAGTTGACCTATTGCTCTAGTTTGTCTATAATTGATTGTTTCTTTATAGAGTAACATTATTTTAGTAAAAATGGTCTTGATTACTATTAATATTTAATTAAAATAAATAGCTTTTAGTAGATTGGAAGGTTCATAATTATTTGATATGAGTAATTAGTGTTAGTTAAAGCATAAATAACAAAGATGACGAAAAAATGCTTTGTTAATATTTTGTGAAGCACAAAAAAGTCATCCTAAAGAAGACTTGAATGAATGTTCTAGTGAGAAAATGAGAGTTGCATTCTATTTCTTCTCTCTTCACGTAAATGTTCATCCCTTATGATTATCAATCACAAGCTTTGATACTTTTATTTATGCTAGATGAATAAAATTGTTATGGAAGCTATTGTGGACAAATAAATTCGGGGAACGAAGTTTTATATGCCGCACTATTGACCATCAAATACACTTCAATCGGGCACTGGAGAAAATATTTTCATCTGTTTCAGGTACAATATGAATTTTTATTAGGTTTGATTTTGTTATTGTAATATAACTCAAGAAAAATAAGTGTATCTGTGTCAATTTTTATATTTGACTGCAGAAGATAAGAAAATGTCAATAGTTGTCAGAAAGCTTCATAGCGACTTTAGAATGGACCTAATCACGTGAAAAAAGCACTCGTAGGATTTATAGTTATATGTACACTATTAATGAAGAAGCAAGCGAAGAAATTTTTTGTTTTGAAGAAAATAATTCTTAAAAGTTTTTGATTTAGGAAATTCAGTCTAATTTTTCATTTTTACATTCTTGTCAATTAAGCTTTAGAAGTCATAATCTTTAGGAAGTTTAGTTTAATTTTTCATTTTTACATTCTTGTCGATGAAGCTTTAGAAGTCATAATTTTTTAAGACTTATTATCTTTGAAACCAAAAAATTTCATTGCCTGATTCTTCACTAAAAGTGTACAAACAACTATAAGTCATAGGAGTGCTTTTTTCACGTGATCAGGTCCATTCTAAAGTCGCTATGAAGCTTTCTGACGACTGTTCATGTTTTCTTATCTTTTGCAGCCAAGCATAAAAATTGACACAGTTATTTACTTTTCTTGAGGTATATTACAATAACAAAATCAAGCTTGATAAAAATTCATACTGCATCTAAAACAGATAGAGATATTTTCTCCGATACTCAATCGAAGTGTATTTGTTTGATAGTCAATGGTGTTGCATATAAAGATTTGTTCTCCAAATTTATTTTGTTTGCAATAGCTTCTATAGCAGTTTTATTCATCTAGGATAAATAAAAATAACAAACTTGAGACTGATCGTTACAAGGGATGAACATTTACATTAAGAGTGAAAGAAGAAATAGAATACAATTCCCATTTTCTCAATCGAACAACATTTGTTCAAGTCATATCAAATTTCTTTAAGATAACTTATTTATGCATCACAAAATATCTTGAATGGCAATAAAGCATTTTTTTCGCCATCTTTGTCGTTTATGATTTAACAAACACTAATTATTCACATCAAACAATTATGAACCTTCCAATTTACTAGAAATTATTTATGTTAATTAAATATTTATAGTAACCAAAACCAGTTTCTAAAATATTGTTACCCTATGAAGAAAACAATCAAGTACAGACAAACCAGAGTAGATAGGTCAGCTTCACTGAAATTTTCACACGTACTGTCACTTCCAATTGCCATCAAGTCCACATTGGCATCTATTGGCTTCTTCCTACCAAGAGCTGTCAAGATTAAACCGCGCTCATCTGGATTGGGAAGAGTGACATAAGAGGTTTCCAGGGGTAGAATACAATACAATACAATTGTTATTTACGAGTTTTCATACTTTGATATCTTTGTGAAATTACTTTATTACTAATCTTCAAGAATATATCTTTTTCCACATAAACGATGTGGCTATCATTCATCCACTCATCTCTAATCCGATTTCATAATCTATCATTCACAATATTCATGGCAGAAAATACTCTCCACAGTAGTCATGGCACCCGAAAGAATTAGTGCCAAAGTCAAAAGCTTGCAAACCAGTAGGTATGCTCTATTCTTATTTTTCAAAACTAATTTATGTGCTAGAGCGCTAAAGCTATTCAATTCTTCGAACTCTTTATTAAAGAGAATGTCAAAATTATAATTATCAAGTTGATATTCCACTATGAAGAGAACTACCATTGAAAAATTTTGTGGATAAAACTTTCTTTTGTCAAAAGCAAAGAATGAATTTTGTGGACACAGACAAGCTAAACAAAAGGACCAACTCAGCAATTACCTCTAAGAAACGATCATTCAATTCTTGAAATTGCATATCGATGATAGCGTAGAATAAATCTACCAAAAAGTGATGCAAGTTGGTTATTTGTGGAGGATTACGATGAGAGCGAATACCATAAACATAACATCCATGTTTGGCACATCAATATAATGATTCTGACAAAAGGAACTTGTTGCAAAAAAGAATCCCATCATCTCTCAGAAGTTGGGAGTCGTTTTTTGCAAACATTCACCATGTCCATTGCATTGATAATGTCTTGATCTTTCCTTTGCAATTCCTGTGACAAATCATTTGAAATACTCAAGACACTTCTCATTAAATGTAGATTAAATGTAAAATCAAACGATTGTATTGACTCCAATAAATTGAATGCATAACTTTTTTTTATCACAAGTACTAGATTCATCTTCAACAGTTATTTCAAGTACATCAATAATAGCCTTAAAAATGCTAATCAAGCTAACCAAAGAATTATAATGAAATCACTAATGCGTATCACCTAAACGTTGAAGAGTGGTTTTTTGATTAAGGCCCCGTCCACTTAAGATATCATCATTCTCCAATGCCTCAATAATGAAGTCTGATTGTTTCTCTTGTAGAAGATTACAACGTTTAGATGTTATAACATTATTTATCACATTAGCAACCACATGAAAGAATTTAATAATCGGTATATTCTTCTTTGCCATAGCTACTAATTGCGGTTGATGAGCAAAATAATGAGCTTAAAAGGCACAACGGTTCTAATTTAAAATGAGTGCTTTGAGACCACTGAATTGACCTTGCATATTGCTTGCCCGTCGTAACTTTGTCCCCTTAGATTAGAAATGCTCAAGTTATATCTAGAAAACTTGTTATCAATAGCGGCCTTGAGTGAGACAACAATGGTACTGGACAGATGTTCAATACCTATGAAACATTCATTTACAAATTCATTTTTCACATGTCGTAACACAATTGACATTTGCTCCTTTGTTGACACGTCATGAGATTCATCAACTAAAATAGAAAATAATGAATCTCCAACATCTATAATCACATTTATCGTTTCAGCAGCACAAGCACTTACTCTATTCTTTTATACTTTAGGGGATGTTAGATTGCAATTTTGAGGAGCATTTTCCAACGTCACAGCCTTAACCTCATGATTATGATCAGCTAGGAATTGTAATTGAATTAGGAAGTTACCTTAATTGAGAGAATTCTTAAATTCATCATGACCCTGAAATGAAAGCCCTTGTTGCAACAAAACTTGAACACAGTCAATTGATGCAATAAGATAGACACGATAATCATGTCGCATTTGTTTGGACTGCTTGAAGAAAATTGATTGACCGTGTTGCTCTTGATTTATCAAGGCTTCACATTTAATGCGAGCTTGATTATGTGAACTTTTATGCTTTCCAACTTAAGTAGCAAGTCTCTTCTTAGTTTTTGATACGTAAATCCTTCACCAACAAATGAGTTGCCTCCACCTTGTTTCGCACTATTTGTTTTGAAAAGGTAAAAAGTTGTTTCTTCTGCCACACTAGACTCCAAAAAGAGGTCAAGAAGGTGAGATCTCTTATTGGCAACCTTGACAAACCTTTAGGTATTTGTTCATTGGCGTATTCAGGTGAGTTTCCTTTCTCTATTGCGTCATGGACTTAGGAGCTACTGAACATATGACCAACTCACAAAATATTTTTTTCACATATTTCCCATGTCCAAGCAACAGGAAAATAGTCACAACTTATGGTTCTTTGACCAAGGTAGCAGGTGCAGGAGATTTCAAAATAAGCCCATCATTGACCGTAAAACGTTCTCCATGTCCCTAGACTGTCCACAAATATTGTCTCTAGACAAAAACTCACTCATGATTTACATTGCAATGTGGTTTTTCATTATAGTTAGTGTATTTCAGGACAAGGATTCGGGGAAGATGATTGGACATGCTAGAGAATGGGATGGGCTTTTCCTAACTCGAATCACCGAGGCAATCAAGTATCATCAAGGGCAAATTACCTCATTCTTTTGTTTGAGTTTTTTCATCCAATATAGAGAGTGGCTTCACCATTGTTGACTTGTACATGTGTCATTTAGGGTTATTAAACATAATTCTCATGTTACTTGGATTTTTTGGCTCATACATAAATTTGATGTTAGTACTGTTCATCCAAATTTTTGTTCCATGATTAAGAATCAATTTAAGGTCAATATCAAAAGGTTTGGGTTGGTTCAATCAAGTCCTATCTCCGTACTTTAAGAAGAATTAAGGGATAGTACACGAGTCATCTTATGTTAGTACTCTACAGCAAAATAGAGTAGCAAAAAAGTAAAATTGACACCTTAAATCAACCTGAGCCTTCATGTTCCATAGAGATGTACCTAAATCCTTTTGGGTAGAAGCAGTTCTTACAGCCACACATCTAATAAATCGTTTACCTTCCAGAATCTTGGGATTCAAGAGTCAAATGGAAATACTATCGACATTCTATCCTAACCTACACACTACAAATAATCTTGTCCCTAGGATGTTTGGGTGTATATCATTTGTCCATGACCATAGTCAAAATAGGGGAAACTTGGATCCTAGGGTGTTAAGATGTGTCTTTGTGGTTATTCGTCAATTTAGAAAGGGTGCAAGTGTTACCACCCTCCATCAAAGAAATTCTATGTCTCGGTGGTGTTCCTTTCAATGAATTAGAGTTGTATTTCACAGCTCCTTATCTTTAGGGTGAGAATTCAATAATGGTAAATAAGGATAGTTTTTTGCCTAACTTACTGTCACTTTCCAGGTCCAGATCAGTTCCTCATTCCACTATGTTGAATTCCGTGTCTCCTTGTCTGAACTCGTGCCCGTGCTCAAAATCCTCAAGAAAAAAGATGGACTCTACTTTTGAAAATGTAAATATTTGGCAAGGGCAAGGTGTTTTCAAGGAAGATGGTTGTCCTTGAATCTGTGCAAGTACAAGACACGAACCCGGATTTTGAGAATGCGGCAACAATTTCTAACCCTTCATTGCAAGCTAAAACTGAATCTAATGTGAGCAATAATGACAGGGCCTTCCCATTGCTCACAAACCGACATTTATATCCTCTTGCACATTTCTTGTCTTTTAAACATTTTTCCCCATCTCATAGAGCCTTCCTTGTTAGCTTAAACACCATTGTCATTCCTGCCACCTTATCCAAGGCTTTGTCCAATGAGAAATAGAAACAAGCTATGAATGTAAGGATAGAGGTCCTTAAAAAAACTTGGGAATTGGTGAAGTTGCTAACAAGAAAGAGATTAGTGGGATGTAAAATGGGTTTATATAGTGAAGTATAGGGCAGATGGATCGATAGAAAGATACGAGGGAAAGTTGGTGGCTAAAGGTTATACTCAATCATATGGAATCGATTACCTAGAGACTTATGCTCCAATTGCAAAGATAAATACTGTTAGAATCTTGTTGTCATTAACAACTAATTATGGTTGGAATAGCAGCATTTTGATTTTAAGATTGCATTGTTTGCCTGGAGAACTAAAGGAAGAAATTTATATAGAGGTCGTATTAGGTTATGGGAATAATTTGGCTGGTTATATTGTGTGTAGGTTGAAGAAAGCCTCTATGGACTTGAGAAATCACCATAGGCATGGTTTGGAAGATTTGCAAGAGTTATGATAGCCATGGGATATATATAGACAAAGCTAAAGGGATCATATGCTGTACATTAAACACTCACCTTCAAGGGAGTCACAGTTTTCTTAGAATATGTTGATGACACAATAGTGATCGGGATTGATGATAAGGAGAAGATAGTTTGCAAACCAGCAAGTACTTCATTAGATTCGAATGTTAGACTTGGAAAGGTAGAGGAAGATGTTGCAGTAGACATGGAAATGTACCAGTACTTGTAGGAACCTATTTATCTGTCACACACATCCGGATATAGCGTATGCAGTGTTAGCCAGTTCTTGCATATCCCCAAGGAACTCTTGGTAGGGAGACCTATTTCATTTTTTTTCTTTCACTCCTTTCACCAGTAGGTACGAATGAGGAGGCGAATCCAGTGCCACTGATCAGCCGTTGTGAGTGGCGAATGTATTGCCTTAGGCGTTGTTGCTAAACGGAGCTTGAGTTCGTTGCATACAATGACGATCAGATCCCGTCGTGTACGGCATTCAGATCTCGTCGTGCACGACATTCAGATCTCGTCCCGAGCGGCAACGAACTTAGAGTGTTGGGCACAGTGGTGTACACTCTGGTTGTCATGATGGGTTTGTGGTGGTTTTGTGGTTGATTTGTAGGAGTTTGGTTATGTTGCGATCTGGCAACGATGATAGTGTAGGAGTTTGGTGTGTGGTTACTATGGTGGTGGTAGGTTTGCATTGATGTGATGTAGTGGTTGTTGTGGTGGTGATTTTGCACGGTCTGGTGAGACGACGGTGGCCATGGGTAGATGGGATGGGATAGGAGCTGTTTGTGACCAATTATTTGGTTGATTGTGATCAATAAATTGGTTAATTTGTGACCTAAAAAATGTAATTGTGACTCACAATTTATTAAGTTGTGACCACAAAATTAATTTGACAATTAATTTGATAATGTGTAATTGATAAATGAATTGTGACCAATAAAAGTTTTGATTTTGTGACCGATGAATAATGTCCTATAGAATTTTTAATTTGTGCTCGAGAAATAATTTGTAACCAATTAATTTGATAATTTGTGATGAAATTATATAGATTTGTGACCTTAATATGTTTAATTAATAAAATATTTTTTTATTCAGTTATTTCATAAACAAAATTTAATAATATCTGATTTTTGAAATTTTTAACATTTTTTATTAGTTTTGAAATCGGTCAAAGTTAAACTCATATGAATTTTTTCCTAAAGCCAAATCCACTATCTGAACTCATCATTAACTAACCCTTACCCATATACAATTGGCTCAACCAAGTAAGACACGTGCAAGGCCTGTTACACGATATAGTTGAGTTATGTAATAATGTATGTATAAGAAAATATTATGTGTTAAGCATATGTTGCTAAATGTTTCGAGGCAGACAACATTGTAAATAGGGTATATTGACAAATGAAAGATTATGAGGAACAAATTAGCAATATACATTTTACCCTTAATTGCAGAATAAATTCAAATTTAAAAAATTGAGAAACGCAAAAGGAAACAATATAACCTTCTGAAAGCAAGCTTTAGCAGGAAGTATTAATATTAAATGCCCTTGAACGTGTATAATAGTTCTCTATATCGTAATGTTAACCTCCCTTCCTAAAAAATGCAAAAATACTAAAAAACATACAAAAATATCTTAGTCCTTTTTCAGGATAATTGTATCTTCAGTTGACTCCAAACTTGCGGAGGCAAAACCAGCTATCATCGAGACTAAAGACACCATTTAGACAAGTAGAAAAAAATGCATCAACATATAAAGCGGGAGAGTTAAAGTAATTAATTGGGATCCAGAGCGTTGCTGGTTTTTACAGCGTCTCTTTGATTCATCTTCACCTCATTAATATTCTAATTAAGCCGAACCAAAATTTAAACATCGGACTCTAAATGTAAATTCCAAATCGCAATTCCCTTCAAAACTCGTGCAATAAACTCAACACCCTAATTAATTTAGCTTCAAAAAGCACAAACCTTGAAAATCCAATTGGAGTTGGCAAACAAAGTAGCTCCTTTCACGAACCAAAACAAAAACAAAAATAAAAACTAGGATAAATAGGTTCCAATTATTTTCATAACTTTACATGACGAAAGGTTACAGTTTTTGTCCATGGATCCCGTAAACTCAGGTACTCGATAACTTAATAATTCTTCTAACTATACAAAGTACTATTGGGATTTGGCCTCTTCCTTCCACCACACCTCACACGTACATAGTAGACCACGAACCCCTGATGGTGGCATTCAATTGCTAAACATGAGATCAAAAGAAGAAGAAGAAAAAGGGATATCCTTATGCTCAGGCCTGTACAATCATCCAGATTAAATCTATTGCAAATTCCTTCTTGCCATTCCTTAATGAACTTTTATAATAAATGTATTTCACAAGGTAAAGGCATAAATGAAGACATGAAAACACTACGAAACCAAATCTTTTGAGAAGCAAGCTTTGTGCAAGGTTTTCATTAAGAGTCTTAAACCTTATACTTTATATACCCTTTGTCAAGGATGAATAAGGTACGTGCTCTCCGGTATCACCGTTTATAGACTTGACAGGGCTATCATACCATGTGGAGGTACTAAATATTTTGCGTTCAAGCCAATATCGATCATCTTCATCTTTCTTCTATGTCAGCATCTTGAAGAACATCTTTCACTAATAGATGGCATGCCTTAGATGTTAGCTCTTCTGTCCTCCAAACAGAAACTTGATATAGTCTCTAGCTAATGCAACAATATCTGCACCATCGTTGATGTGTCAATGTACTGAAACAAAGTCCACATGTCAAATAAGTAACTTTAGGAATAAATAATAAAAAAATACAAGCTCATTATGTAGTAAGCTAGAAAATATTCCAATTTCCAATCGATACACGAATGAAGTAATGTTCTAGTGGATAGACTATGAGAATCACAACAAAAAAACTGATTTTTGGCAACACTAAAGAGGCAACATTTGTTAATTGAGTGTTGTTAAAGGGGGTCTATTGTATAATTTTAATAAGTGAATGTTGCCATTGGTTAACATAATTGAGCTTTGGCAACATTTTTTAAATGTATGTTACTAATGTCATATTTTGCAACGTTTATTGAATGTTATGAAAAGTTTCATTTTTTGTAGCGTTTATTGAATGTTGTTAAAATCTGACTTTACAACAACGTTCAGTGAATGTAGCTAAAAGTCGTAATATATAGCATTTTGCAACGTTTACTAATTGTTGCAAAAAGTGAACTTTTTTGCAACATTTATTGAATGTTGTGAAAAGTTTTATTTTTTGCAATGTTTATTGAACGCTTTTAAAATTTGAACTTTACATAAACACTTTTTTGCAACATTTATTGAATGTTGTGAAAAGTTTTATTTTTTGCAACATTTATTGAACGCTTTTAAAATTTGAACTCTACATAAACATTTGGTGCATGTTGCTGAAACTCTTAATATATAGCCTTTTGAAACGTTTGTTGGCTTTAACAAAAAGTTAACTTTTTTGTAACATTCATTGAATGCTGCGAAAATTTTCATTTTTTTTCAATGTTTATTGAATGTTGTTAAAATCTGGCTTTACACCAACGTTCAGTGCACATTGTTGAAACTCGTAATATATGGCCTTTTGCAATGTTTATTAACTAATGCAAAGTGAACTTTTTGCAACGTCACTTTTTATAACGTTTATTGAATGTTTGGAAAAGTTTCATTTTTTGCAATATTCATTAACTATTGCGAAAGCATTCAAAAAAAAAATCACTTTTTGCAACGGTCGTTAAATGCTGTGAATAGTAGCCCACGACCCAATTAAAATTCACCCAGCCCATAAGGTAAAGGGACTTCTTTTGCAAATTTGTGACAGTTATACTTAACTCTCATTGGACCCATTATTTTCATTTGGAGAATGAAAAGAAACAAGCAGGGAAGAATCAAGAGAAGAGAAGAAATGAGGAGATGAAAAGAAAGAAGAGAGAAAAAAATGAGGAGAAAGAAAAGGATGGCAACATTAATGACGTAGGGTGTTCAATTTCTTCCTTTTAGAGGTAAAGCAGCAGATTTGCTTCAATTTAATTTTAGGGTTCATGAAAAATTGGTTTATTTTCGAAGTTTAGAAAGAATTAAAGGTTATTAAGATGTATTTAAGTTATTCAAGAATATTAATGCAAGGACAACTGTATATTGGAAGATTCATGTTGAAGTCATTGTAAATTATAGATTGAATCTTTAAAATTGTTGTAGTTATATGATATCAATCAGTTGATTAAGGATTCAAGGTTTAATTTCTCAGTTATTCAAGAAATTGCTATTTTTTGTCAATGATTTCAGTGACGCTTTCCAATATGCAGAAACTGGTGCCACATTTCAATAGTCTGGAAATACAATGCTGGTTAAGTCTTTTGATTTTCTTGGATTTTTAGTATGAAAACCAATTCAAGTGTTAAATATTGGGGATTATGTGTTAAAAATAATTTATATAAAGCAGTTTATGGTGGTGACCCTTCTCTGCATTTAAGATTTTGAAGCTGTGGAAAAGAGAGATCAGTTACAGCTTGTAACATTTCTTTTTTCCTTTTCCACTCCATCTTTCTAGCTTTTGACCATTTATTTGTCTTATTTGCTTTCCATTATTGTGGTAGGTATGGTCATTATTGTCAAAATGAGGCATAGTAGACCAGACTTTCTACTGTATGTGTTGGATTAGTGGCCTGGTTATGATACATTACTGCTATTTAATTACAATTTGGTGTAGATTCTACTAATATTGTATTTCTAACTTTCCTTAGTGGTAGAGAGAGTAACCAAGTACCTCTGTTAGACAAGCAACTATTTTCTTTCTTCAAGATTTGTTATGAGATATTTGAAACCTCTTTCTTTGCTGGAAAAAAAAATTAAAATTGAAGCTTTATTAGTAGTCAGTTCATCTCTAATTTTATAATACCAACATATTTTCATAGTAATTGGCAAAGATTGTTGTTTCTTTAGTTCTTCTGATGTGTATATTTGGTGTTTCATCATCTTACTATTGTATCCAGCATGCTCAAAGACATGCATGCTAATGCATTTTACTTTAAGAAGTTCAACATTCTATTGGTGGTTATTTTACTTGCTGAAGTTTCTATACAATTCTCTCTGATAATTACTGAAGGAAAAAGGTATAGCCTTCCAAACTCGAGGATAATGATCCATCGGCCTCTTGGTGGACCACAAGTTAGACAAACTGACAGATATTGTATCTATTCTTTTTTCTTTTTTAATCAGTCCGCGATGTATTTATTCGACTCCATATTATTATAAACAAGGTGATTGTTGTTTCTTCTTTGTTTATGACTTATGTCATTGATTCTCAAGAGGGTTCATAATATATTTTATACTTTTGACTTCTAATTTCTTTTCCATTTTTATATGATCACAATTGCATGTAGAACTTTTCTTGAATTTTGATAGTGAAATCGTCTCTTAATTGTGAGCTAACAAATGAAATATGATTATTTGATGTAAAATCATTTAAAGAAATAATAATGTTGCGTGATTAGTTCTTTTTTTGCCAATTTTGTTGATGGATTAATGACCAATTCTTCTCCTTATATCTATTAATTTTCAGGAAGGTGCAATGACCTAAATTATGGTGTTTTTCTTTGTAGCGAGCCTTTTTTGGTTCCAATTTTGTTGCGAACTTTAATTTCTTTTTGCGCACTTTCTCCTAGTAAAGTAATCTAAATGCTGCTGTTGCCGATATAGGCTAAAATGTGGATTATTAGATGGATAACTTGTGCTTTTCGAAAAGATTTTTTTTAGAAAAGACATTGTCCAACAATATTTGTTTTTGTTAGTTGGACACTTGAAAAGTACTATAATTTTAAGGTTTTTCTTTTTCTCT